AATAAAGATAGAATCTCATTAAATCCCAAAATACGATACAAAGAGTACGGGGTGCTATGCCACACCCGAGCTAGAGAACTCGGGTGCACAGGCTAAATTCTAAAACCTCAATCATTATCAATACCAAATCATGGCACGCAGGCCGAAAGGGAAAACTATCTAAGCTACGCCCCAAGCTTCTAGCGCGCTCCAGTGATCTACTCGTCTGTGCCTGAAAGCCAAATATATCTGTTCAGCGAGAGATGCTGGTAACCCACTCCAACGCGTTAAAATACAATACATATATATATATATATATATATATATATATATATATATATATATATATATATATATATATATATATATATATATATATATATATATATATATATATATATATATATATATACACACATAGATATACGAAAAGTCATTTCGAAGCATGAAGATATATCCTACGAGACTCTAGCTTTGAAATCAAGGAACCGACTCGACAAATAGGGGTACACACCGTCTATAGTCATAACCAAGCATATACAATTCTCACACAGGAAACAGTCATAGATAAGCACAACCAATAATCACAATTAAGCATCACAATCACAACATCAACCCTTCTTATCTCATCATATAGCACACTTTGTTGGCGCCACAGGACCAATCGCATGCCCATACATGAGGGTCAGCGCATATAGCTCTGACACGGCCCCGTAGCACCCTGCCCCGTTTCACACTACGGAGGGGTCGATCGCAACCGACCGATGAGCCGCAGCTCTATATAATATTTATATACCTGACTGGTCGTTACCAGCCTGGTTAATAGTTGGGATGGTTCTCAACTCATTCAACTGCCCGTATAATGGACCTTTGTCCTATATAATATTTATATACCTGACCGGTCTCTACCAGCCTGGTTAACAGTTGGGATGGTTCTCAACCCATTCAACTGCCCGTATAGTGGACCTTAGTCCTATATAATATTTATATACCTGACTGGTCTCTACCAGCCTGGTTAACAGCCGGTATGGTTCTCAGCCCACCCGACTGCCCGTATAGCCCGATTGATCTCAACCAAATCGGGGTAACATGCACACATAACACATAGCAAGCACATGCAACCCACATTAACACATTGGGAAGGGGGAGAAAACGTATAACAAAACCTATGCGTGATCCTTCACATTCTAAGAATAGTCCTAAGGGGTTCATACTTCTTTCACCTAGGTCAACGGGATACCAATTCAACTAGCATGCAATATATAAGACTCATACGACCTACGAACGGTACCCGAAAATCAAACTAGACATAGGCACGATAGACGGAGTCCGTTGGGACACCACGGGGGTCGGGGGAACATCAAACGGGGAAGCCGGGATCCCGATGTGGGGTACAAACCAGCGGGTAGCCGGTGGGTGGGGGTCACCCGCCGGCGTTCTACTGTTCCGGGCAGCGGGTGCCCGGCGGGCAGCTGCCCGCTGCCAGCGTTGCCCAACTTGGCCGTGGGTAGGTGGCGGGTCCCCTACCCCCACCTACCCCCCACTGACTCTTTTTCATCAAAAATGCCCCGGGAACCTTTGTGGAACCCGAAACCATGCTTAGACACTTTCAAACGCAATTGATAACACACGTAGACAATTAACGGATCAAAATCAGGAAACAAACGACACATAACCTATCATGCTTTTCTAAACATAATAAACACCCAATCATGCGAATTCCCACCCAATATACCAAGAATAATTCCATACGATACAACCTAGGGTTCTAATCATTTTTAAATCAACAAGGACACAATTCATCTTCTAATATCAAGATTCGGTAAGAATATCACATAAACATCAAGAACATCCTACAATCATCAAGAACATCATATAATCATCAAGAACGTCATATAATCATCAAGAACACCATAATTATCAAGAACCTTTCATCATTAAGATCACCCATGGAAATCATCCCACCAATCATCAATAATAATATCACAAATCATCAATACACAATAATATGGGGAAATCCTAAGAGGGGAATCATAGCTATGAAAATAGGTTTTGTTGAGACACGGGTTACCTTTTAGCCTTAAGTAATTCCTTGGCTATGAAGGGTCTTTCTTGAAGCTTTCTTCTTTCTTGATTTCTCCTAGGGGAATTCTTGGAACTTCTTGTGTGGTGAGGGATTATTGTGGTGGGGGGGTTCTAGGTGCCTCTTAAGTCCCCTATTTATATATTTAGGAGTCCTAATTAGGAACTAATATTATAGGCTTGCTAATTCTATTCCTTTTGGGACTAAGGATTGGGTTTAGGGATAAGGGCCCATGGATTATGGTGGGCCTTTCCTAATTTAATTATTTGTGATTTAATTCTTTCTTTTGGGTAATTGGTTAAATGATTAATTGGTTTTAGGGATCGTAACACGGGGTGTTACATGAAGGAAAACAAGCAACGTGAATGTTGCCAAGCCAGTAGAACAACCACCGGAGCCAGAGCGTGGGTTTCTACTCGTAGTGCTCGAATGACATTGCTGACGGAGCTCTTCGTCGAAGGTCGCCGGAGATAGCCGCTGTTGGAGGGTTATCGCGGAGCTATGTTTCTGTCTTTTGCAGGTCGCCGGAGATCGCCGCTGCTAGAGGGTTATCGCGAAGCTCTGTTTCTGTCTTTGACAAATTTTTTTTTTCCTTTCGCAGAAGCCGCCGGTGGCTAGAGCTTTCCACCGCATCGCAAATCGTTGAGGTTTTCGGCTGCTGCGTAGTGTTTTTACACTTGCTCGTCTCTGTTTCTCTACTGCTTGGAGGTCGATGCTGCTGAGCCTTTCCCTCCTAGTGACGCCGTTGTGCAATGGACCGGAGCTCACAGGAAAAACAAAAGGACCAAAGGGGAGAGAGGATGGCAAATGGGATCCGGGATGGTGGAGGAAGAGTTATTGCCACTTTCTTTAGAGAAAAAAGGATACAAGTTACTCCGTAACATTTACTCTCCACCCACACATGACTTTGCCTTGAAAACGTCGCACTTTCCTCTACTCTCTTTCTTTTAAAACATACCCACTTTAAGTTTGATGGAGACAATACATGACCATGATCACAGATATAATATTATATATGTATCCGCCAGTGCTGCGTAACTGAAGGTGGAAGATAACAAAGGTTGTAAAATGGTCATAAAATGCAAATTCAACCATCTGCTTTTATTTAAGCCACATGGAGATGTGATATGTGGTTAGATTGATGGTGACAACACACACAGCAAGCACCCACCATTTCTGAGGCTAACCTTATCCCTGCAAATATCTCCCACTCTCAAAAATGGGTCCCACTTCCACATCATCCCATTTGCAAATCATCTACTATTCACACCACATCTCTGTAAATCTAATCTATTTTGAAAAGTGGACCCCCAAACAATAAAATAAATAAAGAAAACAAACAAAAAGTACATATATAAAATAAAAAATTAAAAAAAAAAGGTATAAAGCTGCTGCCGCTGCTGCTGTGGCAGCAGCTTTGTACGATGCAAATGGTTTGCCAATTTGCATTACTTTTTTTTTTTTTTTGAAAACAAACGACCAATGCATTAAACCGAATCTAAACGAAGAGAATTACAAATGATAGGAGCAGGATTCGTGAACTACTCCGAGCAATCAGACAAAGAAACAGACTGCCTAGCTAACAAGTTGGCCGTCTGATTCGCAGATCGCTTAATAAAATTTAAACTACAATGAGCAAAACCACTCATTAAGTTTTTGATATCAGATAAAACTAAATGAAACGAAGAATCTCCAATCTCAGAGTTACAGCCCTGGACAACCTGTAAGGAATCGGATTCGATGATGACATTATCAACATTAAGGGATTTCAGCCAGGATAATGACTCGCGAATCGCCACTGCTTCAGCTTCTTTAGATGAGAGCAATCCTCTCCAGTAAGCACCCTTTACAGCCCTGAATTGTCCGTGATCATCCCTTAAAACACAACCAAAACCCAGGCAACCTTCGTTGACATTTATGGCAGCGTCCACATTGAACTTCATGAACCCACGTCTGGGCTTTTTCCACCGGTCAATTGGCGCGTCAGTTCTCTGTATATGTTAATGCTCTGTGATCGCTGCTGTCCAAGCTTTGAGATAATCCTGAGATCTTGTAACCAATCTGCTGGGCTGTTCGATGGGTTGACTTCTCCAGACAATATTGTTCCTCAGATTCCACACATTCCAGCAAACCATGGAGAAAATGCAGAACTGGTCTTCGGATAAGGTGTTCAGTGCGTTGTTCAACCAAGTCACGAAGTTATCTGAATTAGATTGGAGAGAGCTGAAATGTAGAAGATTCCAGCAGGTCTTTGCATATGAACAATCCTTGAGGATATGGAGGATGGACTCACTACAGCTACTGCACAGATTGCATTGGTCTTCACAGTGGATGTGCCTCTGTCGTAATCTATCCTTGGTAGGAAGGCATGAGATGCAAGCTTGCCATAAGAAAGTCTTGACCTTAGGGGGAATCTTACAGCTCCAGATTCTGCTCCAATACATAATATCTTCTGTTCTCAGCTCCCCACCAATGGCCTTGTAGCAAATTTTAACCGAGAATTTGCCATTGTCCTCAGGGCCCCAGATAATTTTATCCTGGACGTTCTGGTTGGAAAGAGGGATCTTCATAATCAAATCTGCATCTCTAGTGGTGAAAATCTCCCGAATGATATTTTCATCCCACACCTTGGTGTTTGGATCAATGAGGTCTTCCACTTTAGAGTTTTCCATGAGAGGATAGGGGAAGGACATAACTCTAGGATTGTTGATGTCCGGCAGCCAGTTATCTCCCCAAATACTAGTGTTAGACCCGTTGCCAATTCTCCATCTTGAATGTTTTCGGATTATCTCCTGAGTTGCCATCAAACTACTCCAAATGAAGGACGGATTGGCACCTAACTTAGCATCAATAAAAGAAGAGTTAGGAAAATATTTCGCCTTAAAGACTCTTGAGACCAGTGACTTTGGATCAATAGTTAGTCTCCATGCTTGTTTGCTTAGAAGAGAAAGATTAAAGCCATGAAGATCCCGGAAGCCGAGGCCTCCCCATTTTTTTGGTGTACATAGAGCTTCCAAGTTTTCCAGATGATGCCTTTGCAGTTGTTACCGCCCCCTTTCCACCAATAAGAATTCATAGTAGTCTCCACTTCTTGGATCAGACCTTTTGGTAATAAGAAAACCCTCATGGCATAGGACGGAAGAGCTTGAAGGACAGATTTCAGAAGTATCTCTCTCCCGGCTTTAGATATGAACCTGTGATTCCATCCCTGGATACGGCTAACAATTCGATTTTTGATGAATTTCAGAATTTCAGTCTTGTTTCTGCCTATTATCATTGGGAGCCCCAAATAGTTTCCATTATTACCACTATGATGAATGCCCAAGATGTTGCTAAGCTGATCTCTCACAGGATTAGGCGTATTTTTGCTGAAAGCCAGAGAGGATTTGGTTAAATTTATGCTTTGACCGGAAGCCTTCTCATAATATTTTAGAAGCTGCTTCAAGTTTGTTGCTTCCTCCACCGATGCCTTGAAAAAGATGAAGCTGTCATCGGCAAAAAATAAGTGACTAATAGGAGGAGCATTTCTGGCCACTGTGAAACCATGTATTTTTCCTCTGCTCTCGTAATCCCTGATCATGGCACTGAATCCCTCCGCAACCAAAATAAACAGGTATGGCGAGATTGGATCACCATGTCGTAGACCTCTTTGAGGTGTGATAGGTCCTATCTCCTGCCCCTTGTTCAACACAAAATAGCTTAAGGTTGAGACACATTCCATGATAAGATTTACCCATCTTACATCAAAACCCAATCTGATCATAATATTACGCAGTAGGGGCCACTCTAGTCTGTCATAAGCCTTGCTAATATCCAGCTTAAGGGCAGCTAAACCATTATTCCCCTGAGACTTACGTTTCATATAATGCTGCATCTCAAACGCAATCATGATATTGTCGGTGATTTGCCTGCCTGGGAAAAAGCACCTTGATTCTCAGAAATAAGATCAACCAGCAAGCCTTTAAGCCTATTTGCCAGTGCCTTAGCAAGGCTTTTGTAGGCAACAGAACATAAGGCAATTGGTCTAAGATCGGCCATCGTTTCAGGGGTGGATTTTTTAGGAATCAACACAATTTGGGTGATGTTTATGTTCTTAGGGAGCTTTCCAGTGATCAGAAATTCATTACAAAAATCCACCAAACTAACACATAAAATATCCCAATAAGATTGGAAAAAACCCGGATTAAAACCGTCAAACCCCGGGCTCTTATCCGGGTGCATGCTAAACACAGCCTTTTTAATTTCAGAGGTGGTAAATCTCTTTAACAACATAATGTTATTAGCAGCAGTAATCTTAGCATTTAAGCAATTCAACACAGGCTCACAATTACCAACTTCCGAGGTGAAAATATTCGAAAAGGAATCCCTTACCAGAGAGTCTAACCCGGGGCCTTGAGGAATCCAGTTGCCCTGCTGGTCACGAAGTCTGAGAATCTCATTATTCCTCCTTCTTTGATTCACCGCATTGTGGAAGAATTTGGTGTCGTTGTCACCTCCTTTGAGCCAAAAGAGCTTAACCCTCTGTTTCCAAAACTGGTTTTGTCTATCCACAATACAAAGCAATTGTGACTGAACTGCTGCAAAGTCTCGAATACTATTGCTATCTGTTCTTGGTCTGAGAACCTCCAGTCTCCTCTTAAGATTGTCGATCTAAGGTTTCATATTCTTGTTCTGATCCTTGCCCCATTTCCAGATCTCATTGCTGCAAAATTCGATTCTGGAGCTTAGTTGAAGACCCTGAGAGTTTGACCAGCTTTGATGGACTATTTCTCTGCACCGCGCTTCCTTCAACCGATAATTTGCAAACTTAAAGCACCTGCGTTTCCTTGTTATCGAAGCTGGAACCGCCCAAATAGCGGTTGGAATATGGTCACTAGAAAGTGCTTCGAAAGACTCTGCAATAGCACCTTCGAACAAATCTAGCCAAGAGTTGTTAACCAGAATACGTTCGAGTTTCTCCCTAATCCAGTGAGGAGACCCTCTACCTTTTTCCCATGTGAATTGATAGCCCCTGAAGTGATAATCTCTCAACCCACTGAAGTTAATCGCATCATTGAAGCCTTGCATGAGCCACTGAGGTTGAAACGCACCACCAATTTTCTCTTCTGGATCGCGGATGTCGTTGAAATCTCCCATGAGAATCCAAGGGAGGGATGAAGCTTGAGAGAGCTGCTTGAGAAGGTTCCAAGTAATTTTCCTCATGTGTCTTTTAGGATTTCCATAGAAGCCAGTATAACGCCAAGTGGAAGACACATTACATATCTTGATTGTGTTGTTGATGAAATTGGCGGAACTGTCCAGAATTTTAATCTCCAAAACCTTATTCCAAAGTAAAGCAAGGCCACCACTTTGGCCCATGCTATCCACAGAGGCCATATTATCAAAATTCAACTTAATCCTTATCTCGTCCATATGCACCAAATCGAGCTTTGTTTCCATTAAAAATAAAAGGACCGGCTTTTTGGAGTGGACCATGTCCACAAGGACTTGAACCGTCGTGGGGTTGCCAAGCCCTCGACAGTTCCATGCTATAAAACTCATTGTGGTAGGCGGGCCTGCATCGCAGGTCCCGCCTCTAACAAGTTTTTTGAGAGCTCTGAATCATCTTCCGAGGTGAGCATGTTCACGACTTGTATATGTTCACACAACTCCGGCCCTTTTCTTTTCTTCCTCTGGTCAGGCCCAAAAAACAAAGAGTCAGAATGCCCCATGTATAATGGGCTTTTAGTAATGGACTGGGTAGCTGGATCATAACTTTCAAAATTAACTGTTGGGGAGAAGTGGGAAATCTTGTTGACAGGTGTGATAGCATGTCCTAGCACCGTCGATTGACTTTGAGAGCGTGCTCCAGCTGTTGTGTAAGCAGAATTAAATGCATTGTGCTTTTCATGGCTGGCATCCGTTGACTGCGCCTGCGTGGTAGTACTATGGGTATTACCCGGTGGGAAAAGACCTTCACCACATTCCTTTTGTCCACTGGGTACCTCGTACCTAGGAATCTCCGTCTGCTGGTATTCAGGGTTGGTATTGGCCGGCGCGTAACTTTCCGGCATGGTTCTCTGTTCAGGACGTTGGGAGAGAAGCCATCTATCCGCTTGGGAGTTTTGTCGCCTGCTTACAGCTCGAAGTTCGGGGCCATAAGCTCTGGTCGTTACCACCTCAGTAGAGTCAAACTCTTTATTGCAGAAGTTCTCGCTATGTCCGATCAGCCCACAGTAGAAACAAAAAGTTGGAAGCCTCTCATACTTACATTCTAAGCTTAGAACTTCCCCCGCTGCATTCTTTATTTTTATCTTTTGGCGGAGAGTCTTTGAGGTGTTTATTCGGACTCTCAGTCTTATAAATTCGATCCAGATTCCATCGTAGTTGGCTAGATCTGCCTTCACAAACTCCCCCAGTTGAGAGCCTATGAATTCTGCCATTCTGAGGTTAACCAAACGTTTGGGTATTTTGTGGATTTGAACCCAAAACTCAGCTTTGGAGAGATCCACATCAAAAGGTGACTCGTTATCCTGGATTTGAAGCAGATTGAGGAGGCGTTGATCGAAGGACCATGGTCCTTCATTGAGGACCCTTCGAACATCCTTTTCGTGGAAGAATTGGAACATGAAAAGGTTGGTTGATATCTCCTTTGCCATCATTCCTTTGACGGGCCGCTAGACGGTTGCCATTGTTTCCTTCAGAAAGTTAAACTTCACTGCTTTGTCCGTCAACAAAGTTCCCACCAAAGTGAAAACTCCATCATCATGTGTATTCCAGGCTTCATTGTCTTCAAAAGGCATGTCAACCTCCACTTCATCTTGGATGCTTAACGATTCATAATGTGACTCCAGTGGTTCATTTCCTCTGCTGCTTGACGCCATGATCTTAGAGGCCAAATGCGGGGTATCGGAAAGCGCAGGGGAATGGCAGAAACAGGGACGTTTTTTGGTGCAGTGACTCAGGCTTAACTTACTCAGATATCCTGGTCTTTGAATTTTATGACACGAAAACCAGCTGTCATCATTCAAAGCCATAAAGAAGGTAGGTAGAAATCTCATAAATGATCAGAACCCAGGCATTAACACCAGGAGAGCTTGTAAAGATACAAGAGAAAAGGGCTTGTTAACTAGAACAAGAGGAAGGGGCTCCAGAGGAGAGGGGAAATCGTTTCAACCGTGTGTATAAGCATTACTTGCAAATTGGCAATCCAAGTAAGCAATAAAAATAAAATATAAATAGCATATTATTCCACCTCATTTTACCACATCACTTTGCCAATGGGTTCTTTGCAGGGATGTGGTTAGCCTGATTTCCCCCCTTTTGCTTTTGTTTTTTTTTTTTTTTTTGTTTTTTTTTTTTGTATTTTCTTCTTTTCTGTTTCATAGTTTTCTGATTTTTTTTTGTTTCGTTTTTTTTTTTTTTTCAGTTTCTTCTTTTCACTTTATTTTGCTTTTCAATATTTTAATAATAATAACTATAATAATAATAACAATAATAGTAATAACAATAATTAATAACATTAACTCACCAAAAAAAATTAATAACATTAATTATTATTGTTATTGCTCCCGACTTTCTCAAACTCGGCGTAACTTTAACGCGATTCAAAATGATGTACTTTCAAGATCAACGTTTTAGCAGGGTAAAAAGAGATCTTGGTAATATCCCGCAGCAGGAACAATCGTAACAATTAATCCGTAAACCTTCTCGATTTAAATGAAATTTAAACACAAGAAATTCTGGACAGATTCTGTCTTCACTTTACCTCAAAATTTGACCTTTCTACAGTTATATTCAAGCTTTGAAGTCTTCATTAAAGTGTAGCTCTGTAAGTTATCTTTCCAACGACGCGTAGATCACCTCAATCGGATCAACGTAGACCGAGATATGAACAAAATACTAAACATTGGTCAATTGTTACAGGATGCATGCTTTGACAATTTTCTTCCATTCCAAGACTCGTAATGCTTCCTAGACTTGTTCCCCTCCTTTCCATGCCATTAATTAATGTGTGCTTGAATAAAACCACTATCTTGAACAAAAATATAAAAATTTTGTTATGACTAAACTTAGACAATAAAATTTCTAAGCTGCCTACGTACTCCCATGAAGGAGATCAAGTCAAACGTAGTTCAAATGATTTTTCTTTTAAAGTGGAGCCGTTCACAGTTTAGACTCATGTGGGCTAGGAACGTCTATGACTTGGGCCCACCCATAGACAAACGAGATGCATTAGCAGTTTAACCACGTACTGCATTTTTAGTGGATATCATTTATCAAGTAGTCTCGTTTACTCAATAGGGCAAACTTGCGCATCATTTTCATTAACCAAGTTGTACATGCCCCCTGCAACCGAGATCTCATCATGTCAATTAATGTGGAATGAAGACGGCACCTCATCTTGGGTTGGTGTCGCTCCATAACCTGAATCAAGGTCTTCTTCTTTTCCTTCTTGCACACGGGTGTATATAATGGTCTTTGGCTGGACCTTCAAGATTTCGCTGCATGAAACATGGACATCAACTTCTCGTCTTATACGAGAGGGAACTATACTTCTAAGCCTTTTTGAAGACTCTATTTCAATAGAAGTGTTGGTGTGTTCTTTTAAAACTCGAGAAGCTCCGAGTCTGTCATGTATGGACTTCCTCTTAGCAGGTTTGGGATTTGACCCGAGCCTATGAAAGGCTGACCGTCGTGGTTCTACCTCGCCAATCCTATCAAAGACTGATTGCCTCTTGTGGTGTTCCTCCTCATCGGTAGACGTTATGCAATTACTTGCGGCCCTGTTTATGAAGATTCGCACTGGTTTAGGGGGCACATAGCCTAATCCTTTACGTTCATTCGGCCCTTGCTGATTTGACTTGCCTTTACCGCCGGCTTCTGGGATAAGCTTCCCCAACTTCTGCG